TGTGACTGCAGTGGCTATGCCCAAGATTACTTTCCCTCTTTTAAGGAGAACTGGAAGAAGGTCTTTCTGTAGGCTATTGTGATTTGTTTACAGTTGTTTTGCAGGTAAAGTTGCTTGCATTCAGTAGGAATTGGACTCTACTTGGGCAGTCGGGTGAGATATTTTGAGAGCTATCTTGACTATTACATCTGGGTTTCTTTGGGCTGATTGCCACTCTTCCTTTCTTAGGCAAACATTTGGGGAAGGTGATGATGTATCAGTTACAGAGGGTCCTAGAAGAACAGATTTTTCTGGACCCTTTACTGTCAGGCTTCAGGCATGGGCATGGATTGGAAATGATGTTGGTCACCCCAGTGGATGAGCTCTGTCGAGACATGGATGGAGAGAGAATGTGTCCTGTTAAACTTCTAAGTGGCCTTCAGTGCCATTCGTTATGGTATTCTTCTGGGCTACCTATAAAAATTAGGGATTGGAGGTACTACTTGGCAGTGTGAGCAGTTCCAGTCAGTATGCAGAGGAAGAATGATTGTGTATGTGGTTGCTCCAGCTTTGGTTAGTGCACTAACTGCAGATCTTTTTAGACTGGGAGGCCCTGCCAACAGTGACTCATGCCCATATTACTTTGTGTACTGTTACTTTGTGTAATGCACTCTATATGGGGCTGCCTTTGAAGAAAACGTAGAAGCTTCAGCTGATCCAAATTGCAGCAGCCCGTCTACTAACTGGAGATAGTAGCGTTAGCCATGTTACACTTATGTGTTATAGTTGCTGCATTGATTGCTGGTTTGCTTCAAGATCTAGTTCAAAGTGCTGTTGGTTACCATTAAAGCTCAGCATTGCTTGGCACCCAGATATTTACAGAACCATCTCTTCCAACTAGATTTGGCCCACCTCATACATGTCCTGAGAGAGGATGTGCTAAGGATTTCTACCTTGTGTGAAGTGAACAGGATTGGGAGTCCATTGATGTTCCTTCTTAATTGCTCCTTCCTCACAGCTTCTTTCCTTTCAAAAAGTTGTTGAGGACCTTTTTCTTCCACAGAACTTTTGTGGAAGAAATCAAATTAGTTAGATATCATATTGTTGTGTTTTTAATTGTAATGTTTATTCTGTTGAATTTTAACAGCTGAGTCTATGAAGTAGATGGTATTTGTATAAATAGATAAAATCATTATATTAATGTTACCCAGCCCCAAAATTCTGATAACTGCCTCCAGAGGTTCATATATAGTTGTATGCAAAAGTTTAGGCACCCCTGATCAAATTCTTTCTATTCTTGCTTTTGGATATTTTCCCCCTTGCATGTGCTACTTGATCTCTGCACAGATTTTCAGTAACACTCAAGGATGAGATCTCTCAAAGGCATTTCAACACCTTCTTTCTTTCTTTCTTTCTTTCTTTCTTTCTTTCTTTCTTTCTTTCTTTCTTTCTCTCTCTCTCTCTCTCTCTCTCTCTCTCTCTCTCTCTCTCTCTCTCTCTCTCTCTCTCTCTCTCTCTCTCTCTCTCTCTCTCTCTCTCTCTCTCTCTCTCTCTCTCTCTCTCTCTCTCTCTCTCTCTCTCTCTCTCTCTCTCTCTCTCTCTCTCTCTCTCTCTCTCTCTCTCTCTCTCTCTCTCTCTCTCTCTCTCTCTCTCTCTCTCTCTCTCTCTCTCTCTCTCTCTCTCTCTCTCTCTCTCTCTCTCTCTCTCTCTCTCTCTCTCTCTCTCTCTCTCTCTCTCTCTCTCTCTCTCTCTCTCTCTCTCTCTCTCTCTCTCTCTCTCTCTCTCTCTCTCTCTCTCTCTCTCTCTCTCTCTCTCTCTCTCTCTCTCTCTCTCTCTCTCTCTCTCTCTCTCTCTCTCTCTCTCCCTCTCTCTCTCTCTCTCTCTTTCTTTTTCTTTCTTTTCTTTTCTTTTCTTTTCTTTTCATGGTTGAGGTATGTTTCAGATCATTGTCTTGCTGAAATATCCAACCTCTTTGCAGCTTCAATTTCTTCACTGATAGTGGGAATCTGTAAACAACTGCACATAAATAGTAAGTGTATAACTTCAGATTTGCAGAAAGTTGTGTTTAATTTTGTACCGTATAGAAGTTATGTCAACTTCATTGAAACATACAATTTGACAGGGGACCTAAAAGTTTATGTACAACTATAGATGTGATAGCACTGGAACAAAATAGTGTCCTGTTTCAGAGTGAGAATATACAAACTGCCTGCATTTACAAATGGTTTTCTAATGAACAGCTATCAGTCAAGCAAAAAGACAGGATGAAAGCCAACTGTCAAAGTATATGCATGTTTCAGAAATATATACAAGAGAGCAGGGTCTTGCCTGAGAGCCAGGCAGCTAGAAAGTTCAGTCCAGAGTCAAAACTGAACACAGGTTCAGAAATACAAACATAGTCTACAGTAGTCCAGGAGTCAAATGCCAGGGTGGTTAGTCAGCCAGTTCAGGTCATGGAGCTGAGATTCAGGAGGCAGATCTGGATCCAAAGACATAGAAAAGCAGATCCAAAGTTGGTGGGTTCCCAACATAGAGGCCAACCACTGGTGGTTGCTCTTTATTGGCCCAGATGCAAGTGTAGCTCAGTTATGGGCATTTGTGACGTTGCTTCTAAAGGAGCTGCCTTGCTCAGCTTTCCAAGCATCCAACATGTTCCACTCCTGCAGACTGCCTGCCAAGTCAGCCTCGGTTGATTGCTTGCCAACTCCTGAGGCTGACAACCTGTTAAATCAGGCCTCTCAGTCACTGACTCCTCTGAGATTCAACAAAACTGAAACAGGTAATCATGGTGCTGGCCCATTTTGTTTCTCCACTGATCTATAGATCAATAGGGACTTCAACAGTATTGGCAGCTCTGGGTTCTGGAAAATCCTCCCAGAGCATTTAGGAATCCATCAAATTTGATAAGGCTTGAAGGGCAGATCAAATTGATAAGTCCCACAAACTGGTAAAGGGGAATGATTCCTTGAAATGCAACTTCACCCAATGATGGCCTGAATATGACAGGGAATTGTAACTCCCCTAATATCCCTCTTGACCCAAAGCAAAAACTAAAGTGAGGGTGTGCCCTATTGACTAAATGACAGTTTGGGACAGACTCATGGCTGTCATGGAGGCCATGAAATTCTGAGCTGACCATATTAGGAGAGCCTTACCATGAATATTCAAGTCCCTTGGGACCTTCAGATGTACTGAAAAGATGACAATTCTGAACTGTCTGTACTGGAGTAGGATTATAATAGCATAGGCTACACTTTCTGATTATACAAGTGATGTAAAGGAAAATAATAAATACAAAAGCAGTATTTCAAGAAACAGGATTAAATTACACTATTCATAGTAGATTCTTCAAAGCTATTCTTTGCATCCAAGGGCTGACTTATTAAACAACATGCCTAACACTTCAAAAAAATAATGGTACTTTTTGTGATTATCCATTAGATACTTCTGATAATAAGAGAAAATTGTGTACTACTGATCAGGTGATAAATTAAGTTTTTGAAGATGATAATGTTATTTAACCACCAAGAGTGAAGCATTGGTCACCTCTCCATAGCTTCAGTCCTAGGGCTGGCATCACTAGGCCTTCTATCAGTATGCATGTTCCCTAAAGCTAGTTGCTATTAGTGATTCAGTTCTTCTTTGAGGAAAATAAATACATGTCATATATGGTGCCTCATATCATTTTGCTGTAATCTAAACAAGAGACAATGTGTAGCTGCAATCCAGTAGAAATTTGTATCTGCCCTTCTATGGCAGTTTAGGCATTTGAGGCCCAGGAGCTAATTGCAAACCAGGGTTAAATGTTACTATTTTGCCATACCTACTTTTGGGAATATTCTGCAATACTTAAATTTATATTAATTAAAATCAGGGACATTTAATTCATGATATTTTAGACCAGTGCTTTTCAAATGAGTTGTTCATATGGGTAGCATGCAAATAATTGTAAATAAATAAAATAATCTTGTGGTATATGTACTACTGTTGTTATTCAGACAAAGACTTAGTGGGATGCTATTCTGCTTCTCAAACAACAAGTGTAGAGGTGCTTTACATTGATGAATATTTTTCAAAGAATGTTCTTTATTGGACAGTTACAGTGTTGGCCTTCATAGCAATGTTGCAGTGACAAGCATGATTTCTGGGGTCACTCCAAAAATGTACAAAATTGCAAAAACTGATTTGACAGGTTGTACACTGCATTGTTTAACATGAAATGCTTGAGCTATTTGATGTTTGACTCACTGCAGCTGAATAGTCAAAGTACTTTGTGAAGAGATGGGTGCTAACAAACGGAGAGGAGAAATTAAGTATTACTTGATTGAAAAGATATTAAGCTAGCAGGATTATTCAACAATATTGAATGGATCTCAAAATAACATGCAAGGCAGACATATTTGGACTCTTAAATGAGTTGAATTGTGAGATGTATTAACTTCATCCTTCCACCATGCAACTAGAGTAGAAGCTTTCAAAAATAAGTCAGATCTGTGGAAGAAGATCCACCAACCTTGGATCAGATCTGTGGTTATTGAGGGAATATTTGATATCATTGTTTTGCAGATATAAAAGGTTTTACTCCTTGTGATTTTATTAGTTATATCACGGTTTAGCTTTTATTGATAGTTGAGACTGGATTTTATATAACTGAGTTTCACAGAATCTTTGGGATGACATGCAGATGTGGCAAATTAATAAAGACGAATTTAACCATTTTTATATTGCAGATTGTTTCAGATCATCTTATTTAATTATTGTTTGTCATCTGTAGATGATCCTCCATTAAGGTATTTGTGAGTGATTGTTTTTATGGTTGGCTTGGTGCAGCCACCTACTATGGCCCTATATTGAGGAGTGCTATGCAAATTACAATTTTTGAGTACATTTGTCCTCAGCCACCTTCTTGTGCCAAGCAGGTGTACACATAAATAAGTGAATTCACAGTATGACCTTTGAGAAATAATTGATAAATTTTGATCAATTACAATGATTTCCTCTCAACCCGTATCTCTTTACAGGATGCTCTTTAAAGAAAGCCGAAGTGTTCATAATCATCTCACATCTGCTCCGTGAGTATAACATTTCCTGTTTCTCTACTGAATATTCCTGAATATTCTCTATTCATGACTGTCTTAGAATTTCATAATAATTTATGTTTATTATAATGGTTGTTATTGTTGACATTTGTTCTATTAGTAATAGAAATTCAGAATTCAATATATTATGGCTTATTTTTGACATTTCTGAAGACTATGAATTTTGCATAGTTCAAACAGAAAGTATGCAATACATTTCCTTAAATGAACTTATTACGATATATGAAATTGTGCTTTAACATGAAAACAATTTCTGGAGCAAGAAGTAGTTAGCTAATCATTTTATATTAGGAACTAGAAGTCAGACTAATGTCTCATAATAGAAATAATAGGGTATTACAGTGTTGTATTACTGAACGCTAAAGAAGTTGTTTGTTAGAAATTGATGCCTTTAAATTGCTCATTCCTTAGTCTGAGATCACTTCTGTAATCTAAGTTTATACAGGATTTGACTGAAACATATCATTGCTACTCAGTTGTCAGAAATTACTGTTGATGTTTTTATTTTTTAAAACCATAAAAACCCACTTGTCAAAGAATCCCCAAACACTACAAGATATTCTATTTCAAATCAGCTTGCTTCTTGATATTTATGCATATGCTTACTCCCAATTACTGTATATGTTGGGAGGCGGAGTGCTGCTGTAGAGTTGATTTACTCACTGAAGAACAGAGACACATAAAGGTTCTCCTCTCTAGTCTTTTGTGGTTTGCTCTCCTTCATGCCATAGTTACTCAAAATCCAGCAGTTTTATTTTTGTGAAAGACTTAGCTTACCAATTTGGATATTCCCAGTGATACCATCCGTATTGTGAAATAACTTTCTAGGGAAAGGCCATTAATCTCCAGTGCCTGTACTATTTTGCCTGAGGATTGTCATGCCTTGTTTTCAGAAGCATTTCTAATTATTCTGGCTGTAATCTGGTATGAGATCATTTCTTAAATATTCAGAAAGGCTTGTTTCAAAGTGGGACCACTTCTGCAATAGTCACAGTGACTTGCTAAAAACCTGAATTTAAATAAGCTGTTTTTACTGTACATACTCTTTCAATGTGCATATTCTAGATTTAGTTAGCCTTCTAACTAGAAGTAAAATTCTAGACAGTAAATTTTCAATTGAACTTAATGTTTGAATAAAAATTATAGATATACCTTATAATTAGCTTTGTGCTGTCCTCTTTAGGGCAAAGAAGAAGGTGATTCTGGCACCTAAACCCAAAGGAAAGGTAAGTAATGGATTACACTTAAGTGAAGAAATAGTCATTTAAATTGTACTAAATAAAGCAGTGCCCATTGTAGTTCTTCATTTAAAATCTTAGCACTGAAATGACAATAACTAATTACTTTATTTAAGTTGCTCAGGACAATGTAAATCAAGTTATCATGTTATCCTGAACAATATGATGAAGTATTTTATTGTAATTTTTTTGTTTGTTTTTTGTGAGCCACCCAGAATTGTTGGGAGTCAGGTAGCGTACAAGTTTAATAAATTATTATTGTTGGTTGCACAGTCAGCCAGATGTTTAGACTGGATTTGGCATTTATATCCACCTATCAAATCCTTCCCAAGGACCTGGAATAGGCAGATGTTGTTGTTTGATGGTGTTAAAGGTATCGTTGCAGGATGTAGACTGTTCCAAGTAAAGCTGCCTTTTGCAATTGACTGATGATGATTTTGTCATACTGGTACTCCAGATGTTTTGGGATTGCACTCAAGGCACCTATTACTATTGGTACTACCTTTGCTTTCTTTTGCCATAGTTGTTCTACTTCTGTTTGCAGCTCTTTGTATCTTGTAATTTTCTCCAGTTCTTTCTATTCTATTCTGCTGCCTCCAGGTATTGCAGTGTCCACTAGCCAGACTCTTTTGTCTTTCTTATCAACAATTATTAAGTCTGGGATGTTGTGTGGCAGGTATTTGTCTGTTTGAATTCTAAAGTCCCAGAGCACTTTAGCTTCTTCATTTTCTATTTGTCTGT